AGGTTACGTGGTGAAGTTGCATACAATGATCAGTCCTCCACCCCTTTCAGCACCCGTAACACAGCGTCCACCTCGCCCACGACAAGAGCAGCGACATCGTAGAGCAAAATGTCGTCCTCTGTCCACTCCAGCGCGTCTGGCTGCCACTCCCCGGACTCCTTGAGTCTGGATGCACTGCGTTTATGTACACGGGGGTATTGACGCCTGTATTTACGTATTTGTACAAATACATGTATGCCTATTTACGTGGAAACCGTGAATACTATTGTCTATGCGTAAAAACGTAAATACGATCTCTGTTCATGCTGCGAATTGCCAAGCTTGGCCGCAAATAACAAGCCTGCGTCTCCGTCTCCGTGGCTATTTCCACTGGGAGAAAACGACATGTTTGTGATGCCAAATGCGATGCCATTTTGACACAAAGTGGTGCCTTCATAGTGTTTGTGATGGCATTGAAGTGGTTGTGATGGCATCAATTCGTGTTAAAGGGCATCACAGCTGGCATTGCAAACAAGTTCTTTTCTACTGGTGCTCTATATCATAAACCCAAAACAAACCTACACAAGCCTGACCTCAAAACGCCCAATTGTGACCCATCTCTGTCTTTTCCCCCGTCTCCACTCTGCCCCAATCTCCGTCCACGTGGTCCATATCCGGAACATTGCGCAGCTGACGTCTGACTTGCGCGCCATGATGTCACGTGTTACTGTCCCAAAATGAATGAATGAATGAATTAATTAAATAATGGATGGATGGATGAATGGATGGATGGAATGGCCCGAGCTGCCTCATGACCAGCGCATCTATGCCGCTGCAAATCTCATCGTGCCGTGAGTTTGCTGGGGCGCCCGAACAAACCGCTTGGTGGGGAGACCCCTGGGAACCTGTGGCGTTTGCCTCGCTGCCGCACCGCGCGCCCTGGGGCACCTTCGCTCCCCCTTTCCCCCTTCCTCGGCAGCGCGCCAGCCAGCGGCCCCAGACGGGCGGGTTGGAGCGGCGGGACCGAATCCCCGGGGCGTCGAGCAGTCAGAGGGGTTTGGATTCGAGGGATGTTCAGGAAGGTTTTCGGGAGGCCCGGCGCCGGTGGCGCCCCCGGGGCCAAGCCCGGGGGCGGGGGCGGCTCCGCGGCTGCCAAGACGATCGATGCGCTTGAGAGCCTGGGCGAGAGGGAGGAGCAGCTTGAGAAGCGCAAGGAGCTGCTGGAGAAGCGCATGGTGCAGGAGGTGGACAAGGCCAAGGAGTTCACGCGGCAGAAGAAGAAGCCGCAGGCGCTGATGTGCCTGAAGAAGAAGAAGATGTACGAGCAGCAGGTGGAGCAGCTGGAGAATCTGATCCTGCGGGTGAACGAGCAGAAGATCATGCTGGAGAACCAGCGCACCACGGCGGAGGTGATCTCCTCGATGCACGCGGCCTCCGAGGCGGCCAAGGACACCAACAAGCAGCTGAACATCGACAGCGTGGACAAAATGCTGGACGGGATCAACGAGGCTAACGACGAGATGCGGCAGGTGCAGGAGGTGCTCGGGGCGCCCACGGGGATGGCCGCCGACCTGGACGAGGATGAGCTGTTGAACGAGCTGGAGGGGCTGGAGGCAGAGGAGCTGGACGAGGCCCTCCTGGCGCCGGCGCCCGTGCCGGCCGCTGTGCACCTGCCGGAGGTGCCGGAAGGGATGCTGCCGTCCGTGCCGCAGGGAGCTCCCGCGGCGCCCGCCAAGGCCAAGACGCAGGAGGAGCTGGAGTTAGAGGCGCTCAGCGCGGAGATGGCGGCCTGATGGGGCTGATGCGGGGCGGGTGGGGGCAGCGGCACCTTTGGGCGGTGGGGGTGGGTGTAGGGCGGGAATGGCTGTCCGTGGCGAAGCCGGCTTTAGCACAATCGGAGGGGGTCATGCGATCGGCAGCGTCTGGCAAGAGTTTCGTGAGGCTGTTTGTGAGGCGTTGTCCAAGGTGCTGTTGGGTGGAGGACGACTGCGGGGAGGCATGTGCCAGGCGTGGGTGGCGGAGGAGCCGGGCTGAGATGCTGGAGACAATGCTTGCCGCTGGGCAGGGGCTCGTGCTCTGTGGAATGCTGCGCGGGAGCACGGTTGGGGCGCTAGTCTGGTGGGACTGGATGACGCCGATTTCTGCCGCCGAGCTGGAAGGAGGGCGCTGCGTCAAGGGGCGAACGTTGTTGCGGGGATTTGCTGTTCAGGGCCTTTGGTGAATGCCATCGCCTCTCGGGGTGGTCGTGGAGGGGGGTGGGGGGTTGTCGCTGATGCAACGCCTCTGCTTACAGTAGCCAACCTCACAAAACAGCCTCAGGCACCTGCGCGTGCAGGGTGATGGAGCGAGATGGCAGGAGATCAGGATTGGGGGGCTGGTGGGACCTCTGATGGATGGCAGCCAGAGGAGTGTTCCAGCCAGGCGAATGGCTGTGGGCCACTCTGGCGGTCATCTGTTGCCGTGCTGTGCTGCATGATACATCAAACTTTGCTTTGTGGACTGCTACACACTCCCTGGTGTTGAGCATCGTCCAAAACTTGGGTCACCAGCATCTAGCGTGACGGACAATATGTTACCTGTCAGAGTTGTACTTTTATGTGAATTTAAAGTCTTTTTCTCTTTGACCTTGTGGATTGACACCACGTGTTGGAAGTGGGTTGGCTGTTGCTTCATGCATTTTCTTCATGCATTCCAGCACTTCAGCACAGTGCTAGAGCATGGTGGCAGAGGTGCCCTGCATGGGCTGCTGTCTGGAGCTGATGGGCTCCGCTGTCTTGATAAATGGCATCTTTTGAGAGATAAGTGCCATTCCATCAACTGCCGTGCTTCAGTGCTTTTGTGCCATGCTATGTTATGGTTCATCGCTGTCGCTTTCCGAAATAATGCATTGGTGAGTCTGCGGAAATTGCTAAGATTCCATTGCTGTTGCACGCAGACAACTTGTGTCATGTTCTGTGGTAGGGGCTGAATCTTTGTGAATACACACATCAAAGACTTGACAAAGTACAGTCTTTCAACCTTGAAGGCGAAGTCAGGCTCAGCTCCATGCACATGTGGAATGTACTGGACGCACACACTCTTCCCCAGCGTGCATGGTCTACTTTAGCTTTGGGATTTTTCACCATCCCACTGCCAGCCACAGCCATGAGCAGCACAGCAGGCACGTCCATATGAACATTTCCCTCAGGGCCAAGTGTGGCCTGCACTGCCACCTTCCAAGGCGATTGGGGTCAACTGTGCATGTGTTTGTCAGGTCTTGTCCCCAAACTTGCAAAACGAGCAACAGCAAATGGACCAGAAACGATACCACACTGAGGCAAAGGCCTGTGGCCCCATCTGCTCGTGCCTCTCCTGTTGGGTCTTGCCCAAGGGGGGACATAATCCACAAATCCGCATCTTGCTGTTTATGCTCCACATGCTCTATGTCCTCCACTCTGCTGCTTTCGTAATCTGGAAACATAATCAAATATCATTGCCTTGCAAGTGCCCATCCTCCCAGCACACAGGGACCAACCTCAGTTTTAGGATCCCCAACGGATGGTTGCATCCACAACGGGGAAGTAGCAGGTTGCTGAGAACTGTTCCGTCGTTGCGCGACTTCCATTCATGGCATATCGCTGCATTCCATTCTGCTGAACCGCAGGCAGGCTGGGATGGATGCACAACAAGCGCTGTAGGCACCAACCCACGGCACGTCTTCGGTGATTGCATTTCAGCTGCGAGCATCCTCTGTCGCGGTGCTTTGTGCGGCCATCAGGTGGTGGAAAGGAGCCGGCTTGTGCGTTGCTGGGATCTTCGCTTGTCCTTTTGCAGCTGGCAACTTGCAGCAACCTATTCGCAGAGAGCAGACGACGATAGACGGGCAAAGCGGCACAGCCGCGCTGCGCCCATAAACGAGCCGGCGGTCCTTACGCTGTTGCTGTAGACGGACATGCCGAGCACGCCACAAGCACGCCCGTTGATGGTGAGACAAAAACGGTGTCATGGCACTGTGAATAAGTTCACAGGCGCGCCAAGCATGCGTTACGAGCGGGCGTAACACGAGCGGCGGTAACCCCATTCGCAGCACTGCATGCTCGGCAATCTGCGCACGCTTGCAGCACCACAGCCGAAAACGGCCTTCCCAGATGTGCTCCGCCCTTTTCCCTGCTGTCACTCCTCTGCAGATGCAACTTGGCGGTGAGAGCACACCCCATGTCGCACCGCTGTGCAGGTCACGTGAGAGCGGACCTCCTATTCTCGTTTCCCATCTGTTAGGCATCGACCGCAGGAACTCATTCTTGTGCCAATCTCAGTGCCCGTCTGACCAACGGAAGGCCTTCCTTTCCAGAAAATTACCACAGTTCAAATCAAGTGCTTCGTTTCATTTATGCTATCCAGCAAGCCACCGCGTGGCTGCTGGCCGAACCCCCGTACTTAGCGCCCCTTGCAAAAATTACAAATAGCGCCTGCTGCACGAAATCCCAAAATTGCGGTTGATCCCACCTTGGCACTCACGAACAAGCCAGCGCCGAATTTTAGTGCCCAAAACCTCCCCAACGCTGCGGCCGCGTCTCAAGACAAGGCCTATAGCCCGCTGGCAGACCAACGCAAAAAAATCTACGTTTGCCCCAAACGCACTCACGTCTCGACCAATGCGCAGTCCAGGTTTTATGTGTTGTTACACGTTCAATCACCTGCAAGGGGCGCTGTCCAATAGCACGGTCCGCCGCCCCGACCGCCCGACAATGGCAAATCCCGGTACGCACTGACAGCCAATTTCGGCGCCGTTAACGAGCGCCGACAAACCATTGCCATCGCATTTGGCAATCGACAATTGCCAAAAACACGCAGCCGCCGCTGAGCCGCAGACATGCCGACTGCCCACGACACGGCCGCCATTCGCGGCTCAGATTCGCCCCCCGTTGGGTGCCCATCGACAGCGTCTGTTCTGGGCAAAAGTGGTGCAGGGCCTGGCGCTTGATAACAGTTGCTCGAAAATTTCCCCAACCTCCCAAAACGGTCAGCTTCCCAGCGGCTACCTACGTGGGCAGCAGTGATGACGTCATGTCTTCCGCCCTCTGCCTGGCCTTGGACTTCTGCTCCACCTCCTCGTTGATCGACTTCAGCCGCTCGGCCCGCTCCTCCAGCGTCCTCTGGTACCGCGTTTCGGCGGCCTCCAGGGCGTAGACCACCCCCAGGAAGAGCGTGTACATCACGCCCAGCACGTTGGGCAGCGAGTGCCAGTCGGCCCACCAGTACTTCAGCGGTATGTCGCACTCCGGGCACTTGTTCTCGTACAGGCGCTTCTCGTTGGCGCACGAGAACCCGCACTCCTCGCGGACCTCGCACCTGGCGGAGTGAATGCGCAGATTGGTGGAAAGCACAGTGCCAGCAAGCCTCACGGACATCATATCTGGTGAAATGAATGCAGAGAGTAGTGGAAAGGACAGAATCCGATTCCCTTAAGTACCCACACATTCGGAGAAAAGCATGCATAGACTGGTACAGAGAACAGAATCCCTGTCCCTTAATGGCAGATTGATGCACAAATCAGCAGAGAGGACAAAGGTGAACAGGACAGTGAACCCATGCCAGCAAGTGAGAAATACGGTGAATAATCCATCGATGCTAAGACGCTACTCATAGTATTACTGAGAAGGATAAACGATAGCGGACGGCATATTTTAACATCGGGCGGGTGATGCGGGTATGGAAAGATTGATTTCCGCTCCTAAGAAGGAGCATCAATTCAACAACACAGGTCGTTGTCTGTTGACAAGACATTTGTGAAATGTCGATTTTCCAAAGACGACCCGCTAACACACGCGCACACATAAATGCATATCAAATCAACTAAGAGTCTGCAGCAGAATCTAGATTCCACAGTTTCGCATACACGCCACGACTTGGAGACAGCAGTCAGCAATAAAATGAGCCTGATGAACACAATGGAATGCGATCAACCATTCAGAATTTACAACACCTTCCGCTTTCTTGTGGGGTGGCACAAAATGCACATCATTTCCATCAGGAAGAGGGGGTGGGGGCTGCTGGACTCTCAAATGCGATTTAATATCCTAAAATCTGCAAAAAGGGCAGTAGGAAACGCCTCACTTTGGCAGCGACAGCTGGGTGTCTTGAATTCGGATCGCGCAAGCGTGATCCATGGCGTACGCCTGCATGTACACCACCAGGACGGCAATGATGTAGAACAGCAGCGCCCTCCCAATGTTCAGCAGGATCATAAACCAGCGCTTTTTGCTGGGCTTCCAGGTCTTGTTCTTCACAGTATAGTAGGTGGCAGTGCCCAGGATGATCAAAACAGAAATTGCTGCGAGGACAAACCCCATGTAGTCGGCCCACAGAGCGACCTTGGACATCTTGCTGACATCATCCTGCACGCACACAAAGTTGGATTCAATTGCTCCTGGCTTGTGCTTGGGGTGGCCAGCTGGCCCCTGCAGGGTGCCCCTGGATCAAGCCTGAAGGTCAGGATTTTCTCGTGCCAAAGTCGTGCACCTTGAGTGTGCATCGACCGCTGCACCTAATAGTTTGCTTGACATGATTTGTTGCCCAAATCCTTCTTGATGACATTTACCAAAACGTGACTTGCCTTGCTTTCTGCATTGTCTGATTGGATTTGCTGCAGCTGATCAGCATTCAAGAGTCGACTTGTGAGCCCACCACATGAAGTTGTGCGATTCCGTCTTAACTTGTGTCATCCAAACACGAAAAGATGTTTCCAGCCATGTTCATTGGGTGACACCTGATCCATCCAACACAACTGAACATTACAGTGACAGCAAGAAAACTACACGACCACCAAAAGCCGAGCACAACTTAGAACAAGGAAAGGCATGAAGCCACAGAAAATGGTGAACATGTACCTCTATATCCTCCAGCACTGCGTCAGCAGTGGTGTTGATGGTTAGCTCAACATCTGGGAGGCCGATGTCGGGGGCAGATATCCAGCCAAACAACTGAACCATCACACCGTCAGGCAGACTTGAAAGGGGCAGGTCTGGGAGAGGGCTGGGCAGGTTCACATCGATTGTGTTCATAATGCACCTGTCACAGTAGCCACAAAGCAGAGGCGTTCAGATCATTTTCAGGTGGTTTTGTGCTGAGGCCTTGGAGCCTGTGGCACTGCTTGCACATGAGCTTCGCATTGTCTGCGCCAGAAAGAGTAGATGAAGTGCTGGGCAGTCAATGACAAGGTCATTGAAGTCATGCACTGTTTTGGACGGGCAGCAGAGCAATGTGCCTCACACAGAAGCAATTCTGTGAGCTTTGATACCATAGTGCAAGCAGAACAAGCTGCTTCCATCAACAACGAATTGGCAGTACCACAGTGCAGGCAGCCATCACAGGATCTAATCTTTGCAATCTGAACTCAAAACAAGCAAAACAAGACAAAATAAAAAATCACCAGTTGCGCACTGCACACTGAGTGTTGCAGCTTCCACAATGCAGATGTGCGATGCAGACAATGTAAGCTGCTTTCAGTCCTTTTTGTAAGAAAGTTGCTTCCACATGTACTGTATCAACCCCATCCCTCAAAACATGCTACTGCACTTTATACACATCCAAACCTATGTACAGCTCTATGTACAAAACACTAATCAAAAAGGCGACAGGAACCAATGTTGGGGCCCTCTTTTTATGCTGTTGAATGTTTGTCAGGTGATTTTTGACATTTTGAAAACACAGTAGGCAGATACAATAAAGGAGGGTTGAAGAGGTGTGAAATTGTCCAGGAACTCAACCAAAAGGAAGCTGAGTCGCGCAGCACACCTTGTATTGTCCAGGGCTGCTGTGGCCAGTGCTCTGGATGCCTCATCGTATGCCTTGCTCATCGTGGAGGTCACATTGGCCACGAACTGGTACTGGCAGTCTTGGGACTCTGAGTACTCCGTCCAGATCTTGTCCATAGCTCTCACCACCGCCGAAACCAAAAAGGCATAGTAGAGCTGCGCCAGGATGGAGGCACCATGCTTCCTGACGGTCAGCAGGCCAACCAGCCGAAACCACTTGTGCACCTTCTGGCGCTGCGTGAGGATCACTTTTGGTTTTTTGGGCTCTTTCTTCGACTTCTTCCCCATGTTTGATTTTAAAGGTGAGCAACGATCTTCGTGGGTGGGAGGTCTCTGGCAGGCCCTGGCATCACACTATAGGCGTCAGTCCAAATTGGCCTACACTTGAAAGGGCATCACAAAGGGCATCACTGCCTGTATCTCAGCAAGCGATGCCCAAAACTGCAAACAATGTGTGCATTCCAGTATCTGAATTTGTCCAAAGCACATAAGGCAACGCCCTTGCTTCCGGGGGCGGGGGAAGGGGGGACAGCAACAGTGTAGGTACATGCGCATGAAAGGGCTTGACAGTGGAAAAAGAGATTTTGTTGGCAGTGATAATGGCTGTTCACAAGTGTTAGGGTCTCCTTGAACAAACGCTGTATCAATAACACCCTCTTGTGCTGCGTTTGCCTTTCGAAAAGAGCGCTTTGATCCATCACATCTGGACAAAAGCAAAAGAGGGGAACTCGATGGCAAGGCCCCCATGAACACAATACAAAGGTGTTTCAAACTCCCTGCACAGCGTTTGGCCACCGTCAAGACATCCGTTGCCCAACAGCAGGCGCGCAGGCGAACAGGGCGCGGTCGAGGGCACGGCAGAGCAGACCCCCGTGGAGCCACCGCCGAACGTGGCGATATCCATCCCCGGGTAGCACTTTCGCGCGAAAGACACCATTTCGGAAGGCGGCAACCCGAGTCGCCAAACACGCCACTGGGCTCTCAACTTGCGATTCGCTCCCCGCCGTCACCACCCGCCCTGCCACCCGACCGGTCGACGCGCGGCGGGGCAATCACGTGGCGTGATCGCCCCGCGATCCTTCCCGCCAAGCAAATTGCCGCCCAGTTCCCCACCGATGCTTCCCTGAAGGCATCCGATAGCCCCAACTCGAAAATTCGCCTAGAACCAAAACATCCATTGAAAAGCGCCCCATTTTCCACCGCCGCTTGCAGTGCCCCACGGCACGGCCACGCTCATGGGTCCCCAGAGCGCCCTCCCAGGGCGCCCAACTCACCTCTAGAGACAGATGCTTCTTCCGCGCTGGTCAATGCAGCCTGCAGGCGGGGCGCGTCATCAGCAGATTGGCGGCGGCTGCCGTTGGGGCCGTTCCCGGGGGGGACACGATCGCCGTCGCCGGCCTCTCCAGACCTCTCTGCGGCACAGGCCATGACGTTACCTTAGAGCCCGCACGGCCGGGGATGGCCAGTGTCAGTCAGGACCAGCGGGATTAGCCAGCATGGCAACTGCGGCTTTGAAGCGAACCATGGAGGAACTCAAGGGGTCCTTGGAGTACGGCTCTTGGTGCAAGCGAAGGTGGAGAGCGACTGCTGGTGCGCGCAAGGGTTGCCATTCTCCGGACGTCACGCTTCCGGGCAATACCCCCCAAGATCGTTGTGGCGTTTGCCCCCACATCGCATTCTGTAACATCCTGGGGCGGTATCCTACATGATACGGCTCGAGCATATATCAATTTTCCGCAAATTCTACATTTTCTGCGTTTTGCGAATATTTCTGAGTATTCCTGAATGTTCTGAATATTCCAAAGACGCTGAATTCTGCTTTTCCGAGCTTTCTGACAATCTTCAGTTTCCTGAGTTTTCTGCCGAATTTTTGGGGCCGATTTGCGGTCAGCATGAATAATGCTCAGGCGCAAACAGCACTGTACGCCCTCGCCACCATGACTCACCGCCCCAGGCCCCCCACGCCCCACCCACGTCGGAGGTTGTCTCCGACGGCTGGCCAGGCGCCCAGGCTGTCAGCGGCCCTTTAGGCCGCGCCCCTCCAACCCTCTCACCCCCAACCCCACCTCCCTTGCGCCCAGGGGGCCGTCCGCCCACCACGCCCACCCCGGACCCATCGGCGCTCGCCCCGATCTCCTGACTCCTCCCGCATCCCTTTCTGTCGTCCGGGCCCGGGATCGTTTTCCCACCGCCTTCTCCCCGTCTTTTCCATTCAGATCCCCCGTTTTGAAGCCTCTGCCAAGCACCCTTGTTTCGACCCCGTTCGGTTGGGCCCGGTCTTGAACTGCTCGATTCCAAAGCCTCCCCGCTCCTCCCTTTGGCCTCCCCCTTGATTCCACAGCCGCCTACAGAAACCATTCGCTTGACCCCGTTCAGTCCCCCCTCACCTCACGCCCTGCCTCCCTATCTGGGTACAGCTCCTCCGGGTGCACTTTTTCCCCGTACCTTTTTTCCGCGCGGGGATCGACGGGCGGCATGATCGCCGGCGGGCAGCGCTCCGGCCGCCTGGTGCGGCTGCTTGCGCGGGCCCACAGCGCCCAGGCCGCGGTGGCCAGCGAGAGCAAGTGGAGATGGCTGGACAGCACGGGCCATGATATCAACCCCTGCAATAGCCGGCTGCACCCTGCGGTGGTTGCGGGGATCGAGCCCAGGGGGGAGGCGATCAGCGTGCAGGAGGCGTACACGCCAATGAGCAAGTGCTTCGGATGTGGTGAGCGTCTGTCGCATTCGGGTTTGCATCCGGTTTTGGTTTCATGCGCTCGAGATTTCAGCACCATGCACATGCGCTTCGGATGCGGTGGGCGACTGTCGCCCTCGGGCTTGCATCCGCTCTTGGTTTATGCTGTCGAGATGTGGCGACCGTGCGCTGATTACATAGGGTCCTGGCGCAAGGGACGCTGCAGCGTTTGTTTGCTTTTTGGCGGTGCCTGTGGGTGTCGGTCTGTGAGGGGCATGCACTGAGCGTATTTGGCACCGGGAGCTGCGAAGGGCTGTCGGGTGTTCGTGGGTGGATGAATGAATGAATGCAGGGCTTTTGAGAAAAAAGCGCAGCAGTCAAGGCAAGGCATGGTCACGGGCTTGGCCGAGCTCTCCTGGACTCGGATGGCAAGGCTGTGTCAGCTTGCTGGCTGTGTGCAAGGCCCATGCGATGCTTGTCCAATGCGCTCCCCACTCCTGCAACAGTCTGAGCAGATAGAGTGCATAGATCTATGTATGACAAACAGCCCAGAAATCTCACCATTGTTGTTCAAGAATGGAAACAATGGGAATGATCGCTGCAACAACACAAGAAGGGGCTGAGGAAATGGCACTGATTGGTGAGATTGTCAAGCAGGACAGATCGCTCCACTTTCACCATTTAGGCAGTGTTGCAAGAGGTCTGGAGGCCTGGTAGCTGTTTCATGGACGACTAAACTTGCAGGCCAATACAGGACCATAAATGCTGATGTTTGGCAATGTGCTCAGGCAGTGGATGACACCTTTAAGGAGGTCAGCTGACCTTCGTCTTGCTATGACAAGTTGATAGAAACCATGTCAAGTCATGTGCCACGTTGGTAGGAGCCATGCATATAGGTGCTTCCAAGACCTTGTGACCTATGACCCGTGACACTATTTTGGGCACTGTTCCAGGCGTTGCTGCAAACCCAATAAGAATTGGCTCAAGAGAGCCTATCTGATAGCGCAACAACAATGCTGGGCACAAATGCCATTGCTTGCATGCAGGTTCAACTATAATCAGACTTGCACAGTGCGTATGCATTCGAAATCCTGTCTTGACTTCTCAACACTGGACACAGCTGCCCGTCAGCAATCTTGTATTGGTCGACACATGGGTAATCTTGTGTGCATTGTTCGACATTGACAAGACAACACTGTGCACATTCCTGTGCCAAAATTGGACCAAAGTTGCCATCGTTCTACATGGAGCAATGTAAATCAAATTTTGTGGCATTTCAAGTGATTCATCAACGAATCAAACAGGACAGTTTGTGCTTTGGCATGTTCAGGCCCTCATTGTGTCTGGCACCTTTATAGTTGACATCAGGAATGTTCCAACCACACGTTTTGCCCCTTGTCTGAGTCCAATGCCCATACAACAAGCATTGCCCACTGGTATTGTAAAATAACCATAGGATTCAAACAATGAAGACAGCAATTAGTCATTCTAGTCGTTTCCGACATTGCCCCCCTTTTTCCCCCTCTTTTAGCTCTCAAGTAGCATAAACATGATACACAACTTGCATGCATTCTGTCAACAGGCCAGTACCACAGGTCCAAACCTGAGCCAACCTGACCACATTGCTTGGCCGTTTTTCAGGCCCTGCAAACAGAAATGGCCTCCAGCTCAAGTCCACAAGGACAGAGAGAGGATTGGAGGGGAACTTGTCCATCCCTGACAAGTTTCTGGCATTCCCTGGGGTCATCAATGGAGGTGTGGTCTCGTCGATCCTGGAGTGTCATGGAAATTGGACCGCTGCACTGGAGCTTATGGACAAGGCGTGCCTTCCTCGCCCCCCACTGACACTCACTGCATCCATGTTTGTAAGTATGCCAGCCATAGTGATGCAGATTGGAAAATTCAGTTAGAAATAGAGTTCAAAATGTTGACTAGTCTGCATTCTTTGTCTAACATATGTTTGCGTGTATGCTGTGTAACAGTGTTGCCCAGCAACTGTGGTTTAAGTGTCATAGTGCATGTAATCAGAGAGAAGCAATGGGCTTGAAATCAGTATAACAGTCAAGCAAGAATGCAGGCACACAGTGGGTTGTAGCAAAGGGGTGCAGACTTGCAGTATTGAGAGCATAGCAACAATTAGGATGTTGTGGCTGACAGTCGAGCCTGTCAGCAGCATACGGCATTGACCAACTCTGCATATCCAACTGGCTGTGCAGCTGATGTAAGCCGCCGGAGGGTTTGTCGAAGTCAATATCAATGTTAAAACCAAATAGAAACTCAAGGGCCCGTCGGCATTTGTAAGCTCGGTTCACTTGCTTTGCAGAGGTTATTCTTTTCTGTTTGTGCATCGGCTTGACTGCGCAGCCCCTTGTCTTTCAACCCCTGTATCTTTTGCATCTCCATCAGCTGCATCACTGTGGGGCAGTTGACAGTGTCGCTGAGGCAGTATGGATCTCAGCGGCACACCTGAACTTTTGGATGTAAGTTTTTGTGTGGATCAGATTGCTTTTCATTGCTGCAAAAATGTTTGTGGAGGTATTTGTTCTGTCCCGTTGTTGACGCATGAAGCAGAGGTGCCATATTTGTACAATTGTACAGTGTTCTCCGAGTGCACTTTGAATGTGTTATAACACTGTGTGTCAAAAAACCAGTGGGCATAGTTTTGCACCGCAATTCTTGAATTGTTGCTCTTCTTCATTGGCCACATCGCAGTCTTTTGGGTAATGTGTGCTCCTGCTGTGCTCTTACCCATCCAGTCTGAGCAATCTGAACCCTGCAGTCGCTGTGCATAATGGGTGCATGTCCAGGCTGTCAAGTGCTGCCTTGTCCCCGCCTTTAAGGCATGTGACAGCGTCCTGTCCCAGTTTGAATGGCTGGAGTAAAAGTGGATTCACCCAGCATATTTCCTCAGATCGAATGCCTCAACAGTGGCAACTCACGCCCAGGTGACCTGCAGTGCATAAAGCTTCTGAATCGCAGCCTCCAGAAGGGCCGTGACATACAATGCCTTTGCACCTTGGGGTTGATGGCAGGCGTGGAAACATCCAATCCTTGTTTCGTCGATGTCCCTAGCCAGTGATGCGACATGCCGCCCAGTTGTGAACTGCGGAGAGGCTGACAGAAAACTTAAAGTGCTGGTTGTACCTGTGTGGAGCAGCTGACCAACAAGAGAAGGAAAAAGTGCTGAGTGTGAGCATTTTGGAAAGGGCCAAACAGAACTGCTGTATTTTGGCACAGGACTTGGTGAACCTGCAACAGAACAATCTGAGAAGAACAAGCAAACAGAAAATTGGAAAATGGCACCTGCAATGTGGCGATGTGCATAACTGCACTGTCCCATCCCCAATTCCCACTGGGTACACGTTGACGATAGATACCAATGGATATCAGATATTGCACACAATAGTGACATAGGTACTGATACAATTATATACAACCAGTCTTCAGAAGAGCCCAAACTTCACCCGGTGCTTCCTGGCTCTTGTTGTTGGTCACCTTGAAGGCACTGGGGCAATGGTCCAGCCAGCATAACGTGCAATAACGTGATCAGAGTTGCTTTGCCTTCTGCCGATGCTATTGTTTAAAATGGATCCCAATTGAATGGGAAACCTCTATGCTTTGTGCTGTTTTGTGCTTGCTGCAGGTCAACTACAAGCGCCCAACACCCTCCAATGAGCCCCTCCTCGTCCGCAGCCAGATCGTGAGGATCATCGACACAGGGACCATCGGCCTCACCAAACAGGCTGTGGAGGTCGACCTGCAGCTGTTTTGCCTCAGCAGTGGCCGGGAGGAGCTGTTAGTCACCGCAGAGGGTCTGTTCAAGCGACAGGGGGCGACATGCGCCCTTTGACGATGTGCCCAACAGTGAGCAGAACTGTCGAAGTGGTGGCTCTCCTCTTGTCGTCTCACTGCATACGGCGAGTTCTGGTATGAAGCGAAGAGGGCGACATGTGCACTTTGGGTGAGTGTGACGATTGAGTGTAGTGGTTGTTATGGGGAATCCTTGTTCAAGAGATTGGGGCAACATGATCGCCACGTGGTTGCATGTGGCGAGAAGTGCAAATGCTGTGACGGGGGACGTGACGTCTGCAGTGGGAGGTGTAACGACTGTCTGGGGGTGTGCAACGACTGTGAGGGAATGGGGGCGGTCTGCTGGAAAATCCAGGGATGCTGGCATTTGCGTTAATGTGGTGGGAAACAAACGGCACAGTGGGGGGTGAGGCAATGCAGTGAGGCAGGGTTGCCGATCTGTGAGATTCTTTTGTGGTTGCAATGGATATGTTTGTCTAGATATCGCAGCCTAGAAGTGCCCCTTGTGAGGCTGTGCATAAGAGCCACGAAGAGGCTGCACAGGTCTGTTGTGGGATCCTTTGACTGCTGCTTTACACGGGATGTAGGATGCCCAGGCGCCTAACGTGGCGATGACTGGCCATGTTCTCGCAGCAGTGTGTTATGTCGCAGTGCAATGTGGCGCTATGTGTTAGTGTACAATGCGTTTTTGTGTGTGGCGGTTCTAGTACTGGAGGTTATGGACTTCAAGTGATGCATTGATGGCATGGGGTAGGACGTCACTGAACTATGCATGCGGAAGATGCAATGAGGGGAGTTGTGGTGTACATTAGGAAAATGAGTGGGGCTGCGACGTTGTCCAGCATCTGTGGGCATTGATGCGCGTGCACCTGGGTGGGCAGCGGATGCCAGTTGGCAAGGGAAGATGCACACAGCTGTGCGATTGGTGGCGAATGGCGAAGCTGCACTTCTTACTTCCAGCCGTATTCCGGGCCTTTGTGCCCAGCCGTGTGCTGCAAGACCGATTAGGGAACGAGTGTGCAGAGGCATGCGTCAAGGTGCCTCGATGGACAGAGGAGAGCACGGTGGAGGTGTGATCAAAGCCAAATTTTGCAAGTGGGTTTTTCGACGTCAGCACCTCAACACTGATTCTTGCTTGGCAATCGCCAGGAAATGCTTCGCCGCGACGTCTCCTTCTGCGCATGTCTCCAATGGGGATTCTCCTTCTGTATTTATTTGGTTTTTCTGGCTTTTGCCAAGCTCTTGGAAGGGCAGGGATGAGTCGCCTCAGATGGATGATTGTTTTGGAGGGAAGCGCCTGTTTGAATGCGGGCTGTGCCGAAGGGAGCGCCTGTTTTAGCGCATGGACATTGCGATTGAACGACGACACCCAATTGGGATTTTGTTCGTCAGCGCCTGGTTCATTGTCATCTATATTTTCTTTTGCCGAAAGTGCGTTTTGGGCACATTCTGCTTTGAACATGTTCGCGTCAAGAACGAGGTACTGGCTCCGAGACATGCCCAGACCGTCACCCAATTCAACGACTCCAGTCCCATGTGTGCACATGGTGTGTACGAACAGCCTTCCACTTGCACTAGCGAATGGCATCAAACGGCGTCGCACCATTTAGTGTATTTCGTTCTCACCATAGATCTAAAAACTTACGTTAATTGGGCCTGCCGACAAGAATCACGTGCACTCCACTGCCCGGCAATGTTTTCCCATCTTCTGTGGTGTTGCTGTTTGCGCGTAGCATCCACGACTCTGGATAAAGGTGGCGCAGGTGCGAAGGCACAAGGCATTGCATCGCCCAACTTCGTGATGCGGACGAGCGCTGTGTGGTGATCGCCGCCGTCAGCGAAACCACTGAACGCCAAGGCAACCACTTCCCTTGGGGTGCCTCAAGGGGCATCTGCGTGCAAAAGTGCCGCAACTCCTCTGTGGCATTTCAAACACGGAGCCCACATCGTGCAGAAGAACAGCTGCCTGAGTGTCGACAGCGAAGTTCGGACTTCTGACAGTATCAGGTGCGTGCTGAGGGCTTCTGCCTGAGTGGTGGCTTTCCGTGAGCAAAACGCTATTGCAAACCCAATTGAGCAGGAGCCTGTTGTTTGAGCATACCATTGACTGCGCAACGACGCCCAGGCTGTCTAAATTCGGCCGTGGCCGGCGATTTCCGTCTCGTTCAAACTTTGCGCTCGAGAGACAGAGATGGCCGCTTGCACCATGCAGAGGGACGTCGGGCATGCGAGCACCCACAACATCGGACCTGATGCAGTCCTCTACTCACTCGAATCTCGACTCAGGCACAGGTGCGGGGCAAAGTGGGCGTCCACAGTCGTCAACTGTCCACATGTGATGCACTTCCGCACACGGGCGCCCATCTTGCACAGAGCGCCCGGCGCACCTCGCGGCGATGGGATGTCGGACTCGGCCGCACGGGCCCATGCACTCGCCTTGGGGGGTCCCAGGGGACTGCCCGATGCCAATCATGTCCAGACGTTAAGGTCCTTAAGGGGCCGCGAAGGTCACGACGGATAGTAGGACCTAGAAGCCTGGAAACTTAGCACTACAGACCCGAAAGTAAGCTGCATGACCCTTCATGACGTCACACCCGGAATGGAGGGTGTCGGACATTTGTCGTCCCTGTGACGGCGCTCGTGGCTTCCCCACTGGATCAGTGGGGGCCACGAAATCACGTGCCTCAAAGAATCTGCGCCGCAAAGCAATCAGCGGATGGCACGGGAACACACATCCAGCAGGGACGTGTTGTGACACGGCATGTGGGACCATTGAGCCACACAGAACGAGGCGCGTCCTGGGAACACAGTCACATGGGTGGCGTCGGGAAACCACATGGGGCATGTCTGCCGCAGTGCCACTACGGAGCTGCGCAGAAAGATTTGTGCAGGCAGATGGACAGCACAGCCACTCGATCATCTCCCCAGCCACTCCCGTGTCGTCAGGTTGTGCCGACAGCGCGGCAGGTCCATGGATGATGTGGCCATCGTCCGCTCGCCTTTCGTTTACCCTTCCGTGGCATCCGTGGCACCGCTTTGTTTCTTCGTCGCCGCCTCCCTGGACAGCAGGTGCAGTTGGTTAGTGCTGTGGCCAACCTCGGCGAGTGCTGCTTTGAACACTTGACTGGTTCCGGGTTTATGACAATGGAGCGAACAATGGTTGCATCGTGCCGCTGCAGGAGGACGTTGCTGACTTCCCCTCTTTCATCGCAGATGCAATCAACGCGCCTTTAAACAGATGTCAATGACGGGTGCACGACACTTACAGCATTTCGGCCAACTCCAGGTTTCTGTTCGCCCTTGCATGCGCTGCTGCTTCTCATCCGCTCTGCACTCAAAAGGACAAGCATTCAGTAAGCAAACACAGCCCATCTGGTGTCCTTTCCATCAGAAATTCTCGTGTCATATGGCGGCGACCCTTCGTTGGGAAACTAAGCTGCATTCCCCAGATACACATACGCTACACTCGACATCTATGATACGAAAAGGGTGGGATATGCGGCATTCGATATGCATGATATGTGGCTTTTCTTTTGCTGAAACTGCCAAATTGGAGGCCACTGCGCCGGAATTCAGTCATCATATTGTTGGGAGGTTTGTCGGAAGGTCATGAACGCTATGAGGGACACAAAACCCCAAACATCAGTCCCTACAATCCCTAAACCCGAAATGACTTCACAACCTTCGAAGGTTGTGACGACCCTTGACTTCCGGACATTGATTCAGGATCGGAAATCAAGGGCATAGGACATATGCGATTGTTGAACAACAATCAATAATGACCGCCTGTGGCTTCCAAAACATCGCACAGCTGGCCATGTTGGCCGCACAAGAAGCACACCAGCGTTGCACCCCAGCGCCAGGAATGTCGTGTGTAACGCACCTCATTCCGTCAGTTGTTCTACAAGCTACACTGGAAACCAAAACTTTGCGTCACCAGCTTTAACATTGTACGGCCACACGTGGAAGTAATATTACGTGTGTGGTGACGCGGAGTGTGGTGCGACGCAAAGGACAATGTGTGCGTAGTTGGAGAACTTCGGCTCCTCTAGGGGACGCCACATATATGATTGCAGCCCGTTTTGCTGCCCCGCGCTATGTGGCAGCACCACATGGCGAATTCCTGCAGTAATGGCTTACTGTTCTGTCAACAGAAATTTGCCCAAGGAAGTGCCACCATTCCAAGACATGCACCACAAGTCGCTAAAGCACATCATCTGATCCCCCCGTCACGTGCGATAACTCACGCATCGGTGATATTACAAGCCCATAAATCCTGTTTACCGCATTTGGGGCGACTGACAATTGCGGAGTGAAGTGCACAGCATTTTCTTGTCTCGCATCAGTTCCCCTCTTGCGCTAGAACTGACGAGCGCTTTGCCGAATTGCTCAATTCAGCAATGGGGGTTTAAAGCTATGACGCCAAGCATCCCCACATGTATCTTGGGTGATGTGATGTCACGTGTGGGATCGCACCCCAGCGTGCTGACGTGTGTCTGGGTATAGGGGAATCTCCTTGACGACTCCCGCCGCCATGCGACCCAAGATATACCACACTGTCTGTGACTGTGCCTGGTGCCAACCCATGCCCACAATTCTTTCAAATCGGGACGCAGTAGGTTATCGTCGAAAAGACCGTGTGTCCGGCCGAAGGTGGCTTCTGTTTGCGCATGAACCAACGAATAGTTCTCTCAACAAGATGCCCATAGTCTGGGTTTCTTGCCAAAATCTTTAGTCACCCAATGTGCATTTGCCGATTGGTCAACAGCCATCGCGCGACATTTCAGGAAACATATCGACGTCACTCCATGCTTCATCGCCAGCAACTGGCAGTACGCAGTCTCCTACAATGGGGTTGGGGGGTGCTCTTTGAGTCCAGCAAGCCCACTGACTCCATTTGAATGCTACTATCAAGCAAGCGGGCACCTTGTCTGCGACGCCTGCTCGGGCTCCCCGCTGCAGAAGTAGCTCCACAATCTCGGTTTTCCTATTTCTGGCTGCCACGATCAAAGGGGTCTCTCCTTCCTGAAAAACACGCAATTTCGAGGACATCAAACACGGCTATTTGTGGAGGGAAAATGCGCAAATGCAGCCTGGACATTCTTGTGCAATGCAACTGCCTTGAAAATGATGGTGGATATCGTTCCATCTGAAGCTCCCACACCCTCCAATTGATTCAATTGGAGGCTATGGGAGCTGCAGATGGAGCGACATCCAGTATCATTTGCTTGCAGTTCAGAATTGCAAGCAAGGAACACTGCAAAGGCTCTTATAAGATGTGGTCATTCAAAAGGCGGGCTCAAATAAACGTTAACTTCAGCATAGATAGAACGCCCTCTCACAAGTGCCGCCGTCCCGCGGTGATGTCCCAGCCACCACAAACAAGAGGTGTTGTCCAAGAATCAAACAGGAAGGGGACAGCAAGCAAACATGCTGGAGCTGATGTCAGACGTGCTGTCGCGATGACGTTGACAAACAACAGTTGTCCAAACTGCATGACGGTGGTTGTGGGCACCTTGTTCATTCAGACAAAGTTTGAACTTTCCACTTGCTTAGGCTGAATATGGCTCAGACCATGCTTCTATGAGGAGTTTGGCTTAAATGTATTTGGGACTTGCTTTCGAGATGCGCTCGTGCATCGAGAGTGCAGCTGCAAGAAGCGATGGCAACAGAGGGGTGCAAAGACGCGAGGCTTTAATGGGACATAAATGCATTTAAACTTCGCCATGAAACACACATACTCCAATTTCGCAACATTTTGCGTATACAATATTCGGCGCAGTGTGCATGGGCAGCGTTCCCAATCTCCAGCAAATCGCACATTGTTGACAGCATGCACATTTGCACCACAATCCAGCAGCTTCTCAACAGCGCTGAGATGGCCACATTTGCATGCCACCAGCAGGGGGGTGTCTCCGATCTGATCACACCAAACGTTCACTCAGGGTCGCACAATGACTTTGTGCACATCCGTGGATTCTCTAAAGGCCACACACAAACAGCCTTGGCTGCTAGAATAGCTGCAGACACGTCTCAGTCCATCGTGTATTCTATCCTGTATTACCATGTATCATGTATTATGTATTACGTATCACGTATTATGTATTACCATGTATTACATGGATCATGATTATCAAGTTGTCTGGACTCTCTCGCGCACGCTTGCACATGGTCGCTCCCAGGCACGGGAAGCAAAACCACAACCAGATGCATTGCAGGGTGATCATACCAGCTAAATGCTTCCTCCGCCTGGAATTAAATGAAACAGTTTGTTGACTGACCACATTGTTATCATGTGCTTTTTATTTTTCCTTCAAAATTGGACCAGCCTATCTACTA